CGKCCCTAYGKGCCTACCAAACAAGCAAGTACCCTTGCGGGTCCCACACACACTCATACCAACAAGCACTTAGACAGGCATGCAGGTCACAAGCATGCACACACAGACAGACTTAGAAAACACAGCAGAATGCGGGAATCTCATCAAGGCATCCATTCGATCGGCAGAACTTCAGAAATCAGCAGTGTTCTCAGTCTGTGTTATGACGGGTCATTACATTGTCATGAAATGGCCGTTAATCGACTGAAGCAGCCTAGCTCAGTTGGTCAGGCACGCAAGTGGCATTCAGGAGGTCGTGGGTTGGAGGTCGTTGGTCCAATCCCCACGCCCGCCTGTGGCACTCTTGGTGCCAACCAACTAAGATAGTCAGCTGGATCCTCCCAGTGGGTAGTAGTAAGGTCTCCGCCCAACACGGGTGTGAGTGCGCATGTGAGTGGGTTGCATGTGGTGTGCGGAGTGTGAGTGGGTTGAGAGTGTTCGCTTTAGACACTACTGTTACTCGATGGGGGTGGGGGCAGATGAAAAGGGGGTGGCACAGTTACAGGCAAATGCTCGGTCCTTGTGTGAGTCGGGCCCCCACCGGCAGCCCCAACCCTGCACCCTAAACGCTAGGGCAAAGGGGCAAACATGCCGTTACCTCTCTGCACCCAGAGATGTAACCTCCCTTCGTCGAAGAGAGGCAGAAAGCCATGCTTGCAGGGTTCCCCTGTATAGCCTTTAGGAGTAGTGGTAGGTAGTGAAAGAAAGATATGTTCCATGACATGGCAGAACACCAGTTAAAAAATATGTAAGGTGAGAGAAAAATATATGGGCACTAAAAAAAAAGACAAAAAAACACAAAAAAAAGAGGCCTTTCTAGTTGGTGGCGTGATTTATCCCGAAAAAAAAAAAAAAATCCTTCTTATTTTCCCTATTTCACGCTGCCATCCACCTGTCCCACACCCGTCTGTGACATGCTGCGCCTGCACACGAGGGCCATTTTCCAGGCCCTGCGTCCCTCAGGCTGAAAGCCTGAAAACCAGGGCCTACGGGCCCCGTGACCATTCATCTCGAAAGCCTGAAAAGCAGGGCCCTACAGACCCTGTGTCGTTTCAGACTAAAAATGACAGTAGCCTTTGTAGCCTTAAACGAAGGGTCATTTCCGGTTTGTCATCAGACCGGCCTGCCCTGAAACTCAGGCACCGAACCAGGGTTTTAGGAACAGGCTATTTTTTGCCTGTTCCCACGACAGCTGCAGCGCCAGCCCCTGGCTCAGTTCGACATTGGCAAGAGCGGCCTCCTGGACTGCCCGCCCTGCAATGCAGGCAGTCGGAGGCAGTCAGGAGGCAGGCCGAGATAGTACATAAGGACTTCCCATGCACTTCACGGGGAGGCAGGAGGCAGTCAGTAGTCTTCAGGATTCGGCAGCAGCACTCTGGAGGGAGCGCTGCAGAAGTAGTAGTAGCGTTAGCATTAGTCTTCAGCGCTGGGCGCCAGTAGGTAGCTGTAGTCTTCAGCGCTGGGCGCCATAGCTAGGATAGTACTAGAGAGAGAGAGATTGGGCGGAGGCCAGGAGTACCTACCTGCAGCGCCGTTGCCCCAGCTTCATCTTCGAGGTACCTGCTGCACAGCGCCAACTTCACAGGTTAGTACATGGCTCGTGAGAGAGAGAGAGAGAGAGTTCTTCTTCTTCCTCTTCTCAGTCCACCATCTCCCTCTCACCCTCTCATTATCTGACTTCAGTGCATCAACAGAGTACGAGAGAAAGAGAGAGAGAGAGAGAGCTTGGTGACATTGGATCCAGACTCGACTTTTGGGCTTTAGACATTTCGACGAGGGATTATTTGGGACTTGTGACAAAGACTCGGTGTTGAGGACACTCCCATCTCTCCCCCCTCTTCTTCATCTGATCCCCTCCTCTTCGTCTGTGTATGTCGGGACCTGGCGCTTCCTTCCTGTGTATAGTGTCAGGCTCCTTCACACCTTGTGATGAGCATGATGTATGTTTGGTCTGCGTTGAAACATTGATTGGGCTAGTCATTCGTGTTCTAGCATTCTGCTTCGCTATTTTGTACTACGTAAAAGAGGTCAGTCTCGGTCAGGTCAGGGTTTGTATCTAAGTCTTCCCTGCGCTATAAAGCACCATTTTGTATGTATCGGAATGCACATTGCTTGTTGAGATTCTACTTGCACTGCATTGTCCATTCAATCCTCTTCATCACATTGCGGATCCTCGGTTTCTATGTACATCGCCCAACTGGGCATGTAGCAGTTGGTATCGGAACACCGCACGTGAATTAGGACAACCTGATCTGACACGTGTGCGGGGACTAGGTAGCTGATTAGTCTTGATAGATTGATTAGAGCACACGAGTTAGCCCCCAAAATCACGATTTTTCTTTTCTTGGATTTTGTTTCTCACTATTTCTATTGTGGAAAATGATCCGAAAATCGCAATAGCGAACATCTGAAATTTCCATTTTCGCTTTTCTTCTGAAAATTTGAAATTTCGTTGTTGAAAATCCGGAATATCCTTCTTTTCGAAAATTTCGATTTCCTGTTACTTGGAAATCCGGAATATTTTTTTCGGAAATTCGTTTTTTTGAAAACGGTACAGGAAATCCCTCCTGCGGGTATTATTTTCCAAACTGCGAATACTCTCATCTGAGTAAGTCCAAATATTTGATTTCTTTTTGGAATTTTTTTTTCCGCAGTTCTAGGATTCTGTTAGTCAGTTCTATAAATCATTTGCAGTCTGAAGTTCAAATTTTTTCTCATTGATAGTTTCGCACTTCAAGGGAGGTTGGGAGACCTACTAAACTTGCAAAACTCGGGATTTTTATTTTTTCTCGATTTTTTTTTTTTTTTTTCGCAAAGTTCAAACTTTTCTTTTTTGATTAGTGGATGCTTATCTGGGCGATTATCCCACCCACCCCTCCCCACCTATGTTGTTGCCACCTCTGGTCTTACCTTGTCTCTCGGTGTCCGGGTACCCCCTGCAGCGGCATTGGTGAGTTGCCACGTCAGCAGGCCACGTCAGCTCGCCACGTCAGCAGACTATGTCAGCAGGCCACGTCAGCAGACTATGTCAACAGGCCACGTCAGCCGACAGAGCAGGAAATACCACGTCAGCAGGCCCCCGGCCTGGTCTATGTTGTTCCCTTCATAGACAACCGTCATGGACCAGAGGTCCGGTGAAACAGACGAGGCCTATCAGGCCCGGATGCCGGCCTGGAGTACCGAAACAAAGAGACGGGCGGATGACGCAGCAACAACAGCGAAGAAGAAGGCAAAGGACGCCGAGCAGGCACCTCTGCTGGCACTAGAACAACAGCGCCAGCAACGAGGCAGCAGCAAAGGCTGCTGATGAAGAACGAGTTCAACGGCAGGAGAAGATATTTTGCGGAGAGCAAACTTTGCTCACAATGGCAGCGGTTTGGTGGGCCGAGGCCGAGAATGGCAAGATGGAGGATAGAGAAAATAAGATCGCTCTACTCCTCTCCCATCTCACGGACCTCCTGGCAACATGCATTACACAGCAGGAGGACATCCACAGCCTCGACGACGCGCTGACTCAAGTCCACGGCCGCCTCTGGCAGCTGGAGCAGCGACTTGTCGCCGCCCTCGATGCCAGCTCTTCCAACACCTCCGATCGCCTCGAAGCATTGGAAATGGATGTCGGCTCCCTCAAGGACAGCGTGCAGTTACAGCAGACCGCAACGCAACAGTTGGAGCACCGGATCTGTAATACCGCCAACAATTCAAGTTCAGAACCACGCGAGACAGCTCCAAAGTTTGACGGGCACTGCGGGCAGGAGATCTTCTGCAACTCGACGAAGACAAATCCGGTTCCATGGTTCCACAACTTGAAGTTCGAGCTCACGCTGCAGCTACACTACGTTAAAAAACACAAGCACCACGCGTACTTATACTCCCGGTAGGGGGGTGCGTGTCAGGCATGGTTGGACAATCTCTTGTCCAAGTACAGAGTAGTAGCTGCAGACTTGCATACCAAGATCAACTAGGATGATCTGAAGGCGGCGTGGCACAAACGGTTCCAAGTCGAGCTGCCGGAGATCAAGGCAATGGACAAGCTAATGGTCTTCGAACAAGGCACGGTGCCGAGTGTCGACTGGATTGCCGAGTACCAACGCTTGACATCAATCCCAGACATCCAGATGGGCTTCAAAGCCATCCGCCACTATTTCATCTCAAGATCGTGTCCGACGTTAAGCAATGCCCTGACTCACGTCGAGGACACCTTGACGACAATGGCGGAACTCTTTGACAAGGCCGCGCAGATTATCATCACGAACAAGGAGGCTAAGAACCTGTGTTCGTCTGCTCCAGATCCGAGCAGAGACCAGCATCGGCCAAGAGTGGCTATGGTCGCGGCAGCAACACTGTTCGACCAAACTAGCGAGGCCGTGTCTGCTAATGAAGGGGACAGACTCGCAGTCGTCCGGGAAGGTGGCCGCCCCGGCAAAGGCCGAGGACGCGGTAGGACGAAGACAAACACCGCATCTAGCCCCGGGCCCGGCGCAACAGCTCCAGCCCCATGGTCCCAATATGGTATCTCCGAGCAAGCATTCAAAGCGCGCACGAGATTCCTCCAGCTCTCTCTTCCTCTCTCTCTCTCTTTCCGATGCAGACAGTCCGTCGTCACGCACCAACCCAAGAAGTCGTCACCCCGCTTAGTCCTCCTGCACCCGTCAGGTTCGCCCGGGCGCTACAGTCCGCCGTAGCCCCACGCGTCAACCCCGCCCATTCGGCACCAGCTCGTCGAGTCGCCCGACTCCCACTTCAACTCACCTCTTACTTCGCTCGTGAGCCAACCCTCATTGATCGCGCTCGAGCTTCCAACAACTGGTTAAGAGAGCTATCTTATCACGCAACCGGAATTTATAGCGTGTATGCATGCGCGAAGAACTCAGAATTGCAAGGACTTAGAAAGGAGATTAAGAGAGGGAGCGCCTACGTTCTGCATGGCCAGACCGCGGCGTGGGGGACGTAGCCACTCTCTCGTGAAATTATATCTATACCTTTCTTGGTGATTGAACGTTCTTGGTAAGTCCTCAATTATCCTCTTCATCCTCGTCTTGAATGTGTTCGTCTTTGTCAACATCTTCGTCCTCTCCTTCGTCCTCTCCTTCGTCATCGCAATCGGCTGCAGATTCAGACTCCTCCTTGTTGTCGGGTGTGTCCTCCGACCCCTTCAATTTCTCTGCTTGGTCATCGTTTGCATCCATTTCGCAAAATTGATCCTCGTCTTCTTCGTCTTCATACCTTGGCTTTTTTATACCATTTCGCTCCCCATAACTTTTCCTTCTTTCTTCATCGTATGCACTTGATCCGAGCATGGAGGTCGCGGGGCTAACTAGGCACAACAAAAGGGAAAGGGAGAGCGAGAAAAACGATGCTCAAGAAGAAAGATACAGTTACAATGGCGCCCGCCCAGAATTACAGTTACTTGCAAGATTAAGGGCGCCGACTGATTAGAACTTCGTTGCAGCCTCAAAAAGAAGCGCGCAAGAAAGACAGCGCGCGGCAAAAGAAATCCTAAATTCCTAAATTCCTAGCTAATGCAAAAAGGAATACTAATTCCGAAAAGAAAATTCGATGTTCCGAGAGCCATCAAGGCTCGACAAGATTCGAAAAAGAAATTCAAAAAGAACGAAGCAAAATTCCCGCGTGATCTCCGCGCCTAAACCCGACAACATAACAAGAAAGAAGCGACGTCAATATTCGCGCCCTTGCTGGCGCGACAGCCACTCAATCGTCCATCTCGGGACTTGCCCGGCCCTGAAACCAGCCATCCGAAAAGAAGCGATGAAAGAGAAAAGACGAAAAAGCGAGGACACCGATGCAACTCCCTTTCGATCCCGATATCCCGTAATTGGCTCAACCTTCCCATCTTAGGACCCCTCATTGTCATTGCGTAGAAGATCGAGCGGAACAGAAATTGGTTCGTCACATATGTGACGCCCAGGGGGTTCCAATCTTAAGCAAGCTCCTGCTTGCTTTGAATCGTGACACGTGTCGATCTCTCTAATCGATCGACACGCGGAGCTTTCTACGTGGCCACCAACCGTGCAAAAGAGTGTGGAAGTCATTCAGGGTGGTACACGTGGCTCTATCCTACAGTTTCCTCAGGATGGGCTTTCTTTAGTCCGAGGAGGGGATCGTGCATGTCGTCGCAGTGGCACGTGCCAATCAACCATACATCAATGTCCTAAGGGAAGGGGAAAGGGAAGATGATACATGGTGGCGTGGCGAGGGGGTGGGTTAGTCGGGAGTGAGAGCAGGAAGCATTCTAATCCCGCGACTGTCTCCAGAAGCTCCTGATATCAGATGATCCGGTGGAAGCGAGGGAATCGATTACCACTATGAGGGAGGGAGGCGAGATAGTCGGGGTAAAGGGTGGTGAAAGTTTGGAGAAGCGCGGCGCGGAAGTGATCGTGGTTTTCGCACGCGGGGATGGTCCCTGTGATCATGCAATGAACCTCGATGATGTTGTGGCCTCGCCACGCGGTACTGAAGAGAAGGACGTGGAGGCAGAAGGCAGGGATGACACACCGGGTAGAAGGATGGGGATGAACCGTGACAGCAAGACGGGTGGCATAGAAGAAGCGAAAGGTGTCAATTGGGAAGGGATTGTTGGGGAAGGTGATGCGGGTAGTGATCTGGCAGAGGGTTAGGTGGTCAAAGGGACGACGGGATAAAGATCGGGGACGAAGCCTGATGCCTCGCATCGGTACGAGCTCGAATTGGTGGACGGGCTGAGGTGGAGGGGGAGGGGGATCGGCTTCGTCGCCGCCTGACTGAGCCGCTCGAAGTCTCGGCAGCAAGGTCCCCATCTTCTGGCTTAGGCGGCTTCGGATCCTTAGCTGGATCGTTCGAGATTGGCAGATCCGCCTCACTTGCGTACTCCAGCTGCCGCTTGTCGGCGGCGATTTCTTCTCTCTTCTGTACCGCCTCAAGATCCTCCTCCTCGCCTTCCACGCGATCCGCCTCTTCTCCCAGGGTTTCCCACTCAGATTCCTCATCTTCCACCTTGTCGTCTTCTTCCTCGTCGTCGCTCTGCTCTCCCTCGTTGTGCTCGCTGTAACTTCCGTCTTCCCGGGTTTCGTCTTCTTCTTCGCTTCCCTCCTCGTCCTCTTCCTCCTCCTCCTCTAGTGCTATCACTTCATCTTTGGAGGCCGTTCGAGGCTGAAAGAAAGCGAGGTCGATTATCCCCCGGGGATCCATGTATGGTTGTTGCGAGGGCGGGTTGTTGTTGCCCGCTAACTCCTCGAGGCAAGCCGACCAGTACAGGTAGGGTGTCAAAGCCCGTGAAAAGACGTGCGGGATCGGGCTCTCGTCGCACTGCAAGATGATATCGAGAGGGAGATCGTCAACCAGCTGCGCGAGGGGAATCGTGAGTTCCTGTACGATCTGGTGGCGATAACCGGGACGCACCGATCCGAACAAAAAAAGGTTTCCTTCCACCTCCGTTCTCCACTCTTGGATGATCAACAGCTCCATGTATGCGAACCAAGCGTGGTGCTCTACGTCCCTTGTCCACGTCAGTTGCACTCCGACCAAACACACCGAAAGATAGACGAACTCCTCACATCACAGTTCCCACTCACTTCGGTCGAGGAAGGGGCAACAAGTGGTTCCAGACGAAAAGAGAGACGGGGGCAAAGGTCAGACTGCCAGAAGGTAGGGAAGAGAGAGGGGAGTCTCAGAGCGAAGGTAGAGAGTCGGGATCGGTTCATTGGGGACGTTGGAAAGGGACGAGTTCAGGAAGCACCACCGCGGGCTGGTGTCGAGACGTCCGGAGTCCTCCGACTTCAATGTCGTCCACGAGGACAAGATTATCGTCGTGGCGCGTAAGCCACTGGTTCCACTCCGCTGCTAGCTGCTGACCCCACTCCCATAGCGACGTCCGGATGGGCGTGTTTCGCAGAGGGCTGATCACGCTAATGTCGCCGCTGAAGATGGCAACGGTGGACACGTGGCTAACTGCTGGTGCTGATAGTTGTCGAACCGCCGTCGCCCCAGCGAGTAAGATCGCCTGACGATGGCCGGTAAATCAGAACTTTGCCGCTGCGTATACCCTGGTAGTGCTGAAGAACTGCACGAGCCGTAGGAGGTCCAGACTGAATCGCGGATGATGAACTTGCTGTATTACCGAGATGTCGCCACGTGGCGCCAGCATGTGATCGCCGAGAGCCCGCTCAGTGAGAAAACTCATGGAGATGGCGATGAGGACGGGGTAAGAGAAACAGGAGGGGATGAGAGCGATAAGGAGTCGTCTTCCTCTTCCGTAGCGGAGGAGGAAGCAGACACAGCTGGAGATGGAGAGGAAGGGAGAGGACGTAAATAGGACACGTGGCGGACGATTGGTCGAGCCGATCGGCTTCCTGAGACCTCCGACACAAGGCGCACGGTGTTCACTCCGTTCGGGCCGAGTTCGATCATACGAAATCGCCCGAAGAATCGTGGCGCTATCTTCCCTTGGCGAGCACATTTCCTCACCTGCACCAGGTCCCTTAATTTATACTGGGGCCGCGGTCCTGCGTTCTCATTTCGGGCCTCGTAGCTACGGACCTGTCGGTCGTGGGCCATCTCAGTCATTTTTTGCGTTTTCGGGCTAATCGGGGAAGGGACCGCCCCATCAACTCCATGTGCCGCTTGGCCTTGTCCCGAACTGTGGCCCTTGTGGGCCGTCATCTCAATGAAGATTCATCGGGGAGGCTCGGTATCGAAACACAAACTACGCTATTGGTTCGTAATTGGAAGGGGCTAAGGCCCGTCGATTCGTGAGGCGTTCCCGATGGACCGCTAGGATGTGATCTATGATATCAGGCCAGGGCCTCGGATCCTGTGCCGTGATGTTTTGTCGCAACGCTGTCTTTATCACCCGATTTGCGTTTTCTACTAGGCCATTAGATTGCGACATGTGGGATGTAGTATTCCGAATGGTGACGCCATGTACGACCAAATTCCTTAAAACTTCCCCTCTAAATTCTACCCCATTGTCGGTCAGGATTTCCTTTGTGTCCTGGTGTGTCCCTAGAAACCGGTTGACGTATCGCGCAATTTCAGTTGCTTGTCGCATACGACACAGATATGCCTTGATCCATTTCGAAAAATGGTTTACGAATACCAGTAGGATTGAATACTCGGTCCTGGGGGCACCACAATATCGGTAGTATTCATACTAACCCTCTCAAACGGTCGTTCGACTACCGTCAGTACTATCAATCTTGGCGGCTGGATTGACGCCTTGTCAGCAGCGCAGACTTGGCAATTCACGACGATGAATTTCACATCATCGTGAATATTGGACCAATACCATTCGTTCTTGTCGATTGCCGCTTCCGTGATCCGTACGGCAAAATGGGTTGCCGTTTCCTTATGCCGCTTTATGCGTCGTCTTAACCCAGTCATACCTCATGAACGGGTGCGGCACTACCATCCAAATCCCGCTACCATCCATCTTCCGTTTTTCTAACTGACCCTCGTTCCATCGATAATCCCGAGCTCTTTCATTCACCCTCTTCCTGTCTTCCTTAGTGAAGTCCTGGAGGGGTTTTCCTACCAAAGTGGCAATTAGAGCAATGTTTGTCCATACCTCGGCCCTTCTAAACTTTCGGGTATTTTCCAACCCTTGTGACGTGGCGTCAAGAAATCGAGCTTCAGTCGGGATCTTATCAGTCCGACACAGGGGACATAACCAAGACTTATCGCCTTTTCTGTACTGGATGCACGAGCCATGGGCTCGTGCAACACACCGTCGACAATCTATCCATTCTACATACCCTTCCCCACTAGGATGCATTGAGATCGAGTAGACACGCGAGATCGCTTCACAAAAATAACAAAATTTGCCGGGTAGGGAGAGAAAAGATGAAGATGAGAGGGGAGAGAGAGAAGTCGTAGGATTACCTCCGTCACCCATTGCCAATTGCCTGCTTCTTGCCACGTGGAAGGACTGCCACATGTCCGTACTTGGGTCCGTTTGCTGACTCCGGTTCCTTCCACGGAATGATTTTCTTCGCCTTTCGGTACCTTAGCGGGGCGATGCAGGCATGTCAACCCGTCCGCGTTGCCATGCTTCTCTGTCTTTCGGTGGATGATGTTGAAATCGTATTCCTGTAGGCACACAGCCCACCGTCCAATCATGCTCGTGTAATTAGTGAGCTTCTTGAGAGCCAATAATGGCTCGTGATCGGTTAAAAGGAGAAACTTATGACCGTACAAGTACGGATGGAAGTGCTGAATTCCCCAAACTACAGCATAGCATTCACCTTGTGGGGATGAGTCGTTCCTTTGTTCGTCTGACACCATATGAGACGCGTACCTGATGACGTGCTCTCGACCGTCGTTCTCCTTCTGCGCTAGAATAACGGAAATCGCCTCTGGCTGCCAGTCCGTGATGAGAATGATCTGCTTCGTAGGGTCCGGCCAGATCAAAATAGGTGCCGCCACCAAAGCGCCTTTGAGGGTGGCGAAGGCCTGCTCACACTCTGCGTCCCAATTGAGGAACTGGTCCTTTCGCAGCAGATTCATCAAAGGCCGTGCGATCACAGCGAAGCCTTTGATCAAGCGACGGTAGTACGATGCCAGTCCCAGGAAAGCTCGAACCTGCGTCACTAACGTGGGGACAGGAGCATCTTTCACCGCCGCGACCTTTCTTGAATCTGGTCGCAGTCCTCCACGTGTCACCACGTAACCCAAGAACGAGATTTCCGAAAGGAAAAACTCACTCTTTTCGAACACGATCTTGAACCCAGCATCTCTCAGAGCTCCTAGCGTCCACTTGATGTGTTGTGCATGTCCGTGATAGGTCTCCGAGTAGACGAGGATGTCGTCCATGTACACGATGACGCATAAGTTAATCATCCCCTGAGTGAGCCGCGTCTTGTTAACGAAGTTCTGGAATGTCACGTTCATAGCCCGTTGAAACATGGCAGGCGTGTTGCAAATCCCCATCGGGCATCGAACCCACTGCCACGTTCCTTCAAATAATACAAAGGCCATTTTCGGTCGATCTTCCTCCTTAACCAGAACGTGATGGAAGTCGTGATGAATATCAAATTTACTAAAATAATTAGCACAGCCGATCGCATCCAGCAAATCATCAATCCTGGGAAGGGGGTACACATTTTTAATCGTGATGTCATTCAACTTGCGATAATCAATGCATATGCGAATGGATCCGGTTTTTTTTTGCACTAATACTACCGGGAAAGACCATGGCCCAGTGGTGAGTTCGATCCAACCATTAGCTTCGAATTCTCGAATCCGTTAGAGGGCCGTTTCTCGTTCTGCCAGGGGCTTACAGTGAATCGGGGGATGGTTTCCGGTTTGAATCTCGTGTTGTATGACTAACGACAGTCCAATGTCTGTGCCCGTCATACTAATCGCTCCTTTGTATTCTTTTAGAATTTCCGCAATTAAATGGTGGATTTCATCAGTTACGTATTGGGGCACGTGCAACTCGTACAACTCATTCCATATCCGTACATTGATGTGTTTCGTGCTTATACGCTTAGTGCTTTCGGGCGGGGGCGCGGAAATAAACGAATTGTCTGACCGCCAGCAGAATACCGTGGCCATCATCTGTGCATCCTGTTCTCGAATGGCCACGTGTTCTTCCGGTGTTATTCCGTCTCGAATGTCCTGCCAAGGTACTGGTTTCATTGCGATTTTAATTCCGAGTCTAGTTTCGAGGCGCTCAGGAGGTTCCAAAGAATTGGTCTCTGCTCCCAAGCATATCAGTCGTATCTCCTTTGCAGGTGACAAAAGAGATCGTGGAAGACTCGTAATGTCGCAGTAGTTTCTTTTGTCATTATATCGTCCAAGTAGAGGGGAGATAACTTCGTACAGGGTTCGAGGGGGTTCCAAAGAATCGACCATCCTCAAAATCTGCACGAGGGGTTCGCCCATAATCATGACTTGCATTCTCTGTAGACTCTAATCGGTCAGGCTTAGCGACCTTGTATTTACTCGTTGCACCGGGTAATGGATACGCTGCTGTGCCATTTCCAGGATCACTGGAGCATCCTCGTCACTGTTGTTCGTGCCCTTTGACGGTTGCCCGTCATCTGCGGAATTATCCCAGGTGATCACGCGGAGGGTTCCCGCCATTATGGGAGAAACTCGCGGAGTCACGTTAGTGGAGGTACGAAGGGTCAATCTCATCGGTACAACATAAGGTTTTCCTCCTGTATTTCAGAGGACAATCGATCGTCTCTCGAAATCCAGATTGGCTCGTAGGGCCACAAGAGCGGGAAGGCCGAAAATGATGTCGTAAGTGTTTACGTCTAAAACTACGACATCTCCCAAAACATGTACCTTCCCTAATCGAAAAGCAACATTGGTCATTCGTCCCACCATTTTAATATTCTCCTCATCTACTGAAACGAGCTGATCTTTTTCCGTAAGTATGATTAGATCGTTCTTCCTTCCCTCCCTTTCAACTACCCGTAACGAAATAGATAGAACAGCGACTCCTGAGTCGATAATGGGATCGGTTTAATCCGTAGGAAGTGATCATCCTTCTGGATCAATCCTAACCGTATTGGGTCTGAAGCTCCGGCAACTTTTTCATCTTGTGCAAGACTTTTTGCTTTCGTGTTCACCTGTGTGTCCGAAATTGGATTTAACGCGGGTTTCGCGTTGAAAAATTCAACTCGTGTTGAATTCGCGTTAAACTCCCGTTCAAACGCTTGTTGAACGGGAATTAATGGGGTCCGGGATGATTTTTTTCGTGGGCTAAAAATTATCCAAAAAAACAACAAAAAATATGGGGTTGTAGGTTTTGTTAAAGACTACAACCCTGTATTTTTATTTCTATTTTTTAATGCTTAAATCTATTTTTTAAAAATCAAAAACATAAACACACAATGAAAAAAACAAAAACGAAAATGAAACGAGTGTTTTTGTTTTGGGTTTCACACAGATTTTGTAAGGGTTAAAAAAAAAACAAAAAAAAAAAATTAAAAATATAGGGTTGTAGATCTTTCAAAGATGTACGACAATGTATTTTTTATTTTATTTTTTTGGAACGTCGTGTATTTTTAAAAAAATCAAAACCATGAAAAGCAAATCGAAAAAAGGAAACACACACACACACACACACAAAATTGGGCCTGTAGCAGGTTGCATGAGTCTGGTGTCAGTTGGTTGAGGGAACCCAGGTCCTGGGCCGCCTGTGTGAATGTATGGA